AGGGAACGAAGGAATAGGAGAGAGGGATTGAAGGAGGAGGAGAGAGGGAACGAAGGAGGAGGAGAGAGGGAACGAAGGAGGAGGAGAGAGGGAACGAAGGAGGAGGAGAGAGGGAGAGAGGGAACGAAGGAGGAGGAGAGAGGGAGAGAGGGAACGAAGGAGGAGGAGAGAGGGAGAGAGGGAACGAAGGAGGGAGAGAGAGGGAGAGAGGGAACGAAGGAGGGGAGAGAGGGAGAGAGGAAACGAAGGAGGAGGAGAGAGGGAGAGAGGGAACGAAGGAGGGGGAGAGAGGGAGAGAGGGAACGAAGGAGGAGGAGAGAGGGAGAGAGGGAACGAAGGAGGAGGAGAGAGGGAGAGAGGGAACGAAAGAGGAGAAGAGAGGGAGACAGGGAACGAAGGAGGAGGAGAGAGGGAGAGAGGGAACGAAGGAGGAGGAGAGAGGGAGAGAGGGAACGAAGGAGGAGGAGAGAGGGAGAGAGGGATTGAAGGAGGAGGAGAGAGGGAGAGAGGGAACGGCGGAGGAGGAGAGAGGGAGAGAGGGAACGGCGGAGGAGGAGAGAGGGAGAGAGGGAGGAGGAGGGAGAGAGGGAACGAAGGAGGAGGAGAGAGGGAGAGAGGGAACGAAGGAGGAGGAGAGAGGGAGAGAGGGAACGAAAGAGGAGAAGAGAGGGAGACAGGGAACGAAGGAGGAGGAGAGAGGGAGAGAGGGAACGGCGGAGGAGGAGAGAGGGAGAGAGGGAACGAAGGAGGAGGAGAGAGGGAGAGAGGGAACGAAGGAGGAGGAGAGAGGGAGAAAGGGAACGAAGGAGGAGGAGAGAGGGAGAGAGGAACGAAAGAGGAGAAGAGAGGGAGAGAGGAAACGAAGGAGGAGGAGAGAGGGAGAAAGGGAACGAAGGAGGAGGAGAGAGGGGGGAGAGGAAACGAAGGAGGAGGAGAGAGGGAGAGAGGAACGAAAGAGGAGAAGAGAGGGAGAGAGGAAACGAAGGAGGAGGAGAGAGGGAGAGAGGGAGCGAGGAGAAGGAGAGGGAGCGAAGGAGAGGAGAGAGGGAGAGAGGGAACGAAGGAGGAGAGAGGGAGAGAGGGAACGAAGGAGGAGGAGAGAGGAGAGAGGGAACGAAGGAGAGGAGGAGAGAGGGAGAGAGGGAACGAAGGAGGAGGAGAGAGGGAGCGAAGGAAGAGGAGAGAGGGAGAGAGGGAACGAAGGAGGAGGAGAGAGGGAGAGAGGGAACGAAGGAGGAGGAGAGAGGGAGAGAGGGAACGAAGGAGGAGGAGAGAGGGAGAGAGGGAACGAAGGAGGAGGAGAGAGGGAGCGAAGGAAGAGGAGAGAGGGAGAGAGGGAGAGCGAAGGAGGGGGAGAGAGGGAGAGAGGAAACGAAGGAGGAGGAGAGAGGGGAACGAAGGAGGAGGAGAGAGGTAGAGAGAAACGAAGGAGGAGGAGAGAGGGAGAGAGGAACGAAGGAGGAGGAGAGAGGGAGAGAAGAAACGAAGGAGGAGGAGAGAGCGAGAGAGGAAACGAAGGAGGAGGAGAGAGCGAGAGAGGGAGCGAATGAGAAGGAGAAAAAGTGTAGTCTAGAATATATATATATATTTTTTTTCTTTTCTTTCTTTCTTTCTTTTTTTCTTCAGTATGAGGGATCTGGAAAGAAGAAAAGTAAAGTCAAGTATATATATATGTATATATATATATATATATATATATATATATATATATATATATATATATATATATATATATATATATATATATATATAATTGTTAAAGAATCTGGATGGATTTTTAAATAGTTTTTTTTTTTCATTTAGTTGTTAATTCATAATTATTATTACCATGATTAATTTCTTTGGGGGCGGGAGGCAAGACCCAATTACTAGATAGATAGATAGATAGATAGATAGATAGATAGATAGATAGAGAGAGAGAGAGAGAGAGAGAGAGAGAGAGAGAGAGAGAGAGAGAGAGAGAGAGATAAAGAGCCACATAGAAAGAGAGAGAGAGGGAGAGAGGAAGAGAAGGTGTGGGGAAAGGGGGATATAAAGACAGATAGATAGTTCGATAGATAGATAGATAGATAGAGAGAGAGAGAATCAAACAGACACACAGACAGTCAGAGAGAGAAGGTTACACACACAAAGAGAACCACACACACACACACACACACACACACAGTCATGTGTTTTCTCTGCCTGCCCCGAGAGAGAGAGAGATTAGACTGTACAAGACCATGTGTCTGAGTCAGTAAACCCTCGTCTGGTGAGCTGCAAAGGCTAAGAATGTTGGTGTAGGTCTTTGCAAAAACTGTCTGCTGCGAAGAGGAGGAAGGGGATGAAAGGGAGGAAAAGGGGAAGAGGGAGAGAAAGAGGAGGGAGGAAGGGGAGGGGAAGAAAAGGGGAGGGAGGAAAGGGGGAGGGAGGAAAGGGGGAGGGAAAAACGAAGAGGGAGGAAAGGGGGAGGAGAGAGAGAAAGAGGAGGGAGGAAGGGGGAGGAGGGAGAGAAAGAGGAGGGAGCAAGGGGAGGGAAGAAAGGGGGAGGGAGGAAAAGGGGAGGGAAAAAAGAAGAGGGAGGAAAGGGGGAGGAGGGAGAGAAAGAGGAGGGAGGAAAAGGGGAGGGAAAAACGAAGAGGGAGGAAAGGGGGAGGAGAGAGAGAAAGAGGAGGGAGGAAGGGGGAGGAGGGAGAGAAAGAGGAGGGAGCAAGGGGAGGTAAGAAAGGGGGAGGGAGAGAAAGAGGAAGGAGAGAAAGAGAAGGGAGAGAAAGAGGAGGAAAGGGGGAGGGAGGAAAAGGGGAGGGAAAAAAGGAGAGGAAGGAAAGGGAAGGATGGAGAGAAAGAGAAGAAAGAAAAGGAGGAGGGAGGAAAGGTGGAAGGGGGAGAGAAAGAGCAGGGAGGAGAGAGGGAGAGAAGGAGAGAGGGAACGAAGGAGGAGGAGAGAGGGAGACAGAGAAAGAGAAGACGGGGAAGGAGAGAATGCAAGAGGAGAAGAGAGAAAGGATAATACGACGAAGGAAAGCGAGAGACAAAGAGTCGGAGAAAGTGAGAGAGGGAAAGAGGAGAGAGAATAGAAAGAGGGTAAGAGAAAGGGGAGGAGAAAGGTGTAGAGGGAGAGAAGAAAACAAGAGGAGAGAGAGAGAGAAATATGGAGAGAGAGACAGAGAGAAGGAAAGAGGATGGGAACAGGGAAAGCGGAGGAAGGAGAAGGGGAAAGAAGAAGAAGGAGAGACAGAGAAAGAGGAGGAGAAGGGAAAAAGGAGAGACGAGAAGGAGGAGAGAGAGAGAGAGAGAGAGAGAGAGAGAGAGAGAGAGAGAGAGAGAGAGAGAGAGAGAGAGAGAGAGAGAGAGAGAGAGAAAGAGAGAGAGAGAGAGGAAGGGAGGAAGAGAAGAGGGAGAGTGGGGAAGAGGAGAAGGAAAAGCGAGAGAGAAAGAGGAAGAGGAGGAGAGGGAGAGAGGGAGAGGGCGGGTGGGGAGGGAGAGAGAAAGAGAGAGAGAGGAAGAGAGCGAGAGTTAGAGAGCTAGAGAGAGAGAGAGTAAGCGAGAGAGAGAGAGAGAGAGAGAGAGAGAGAGAGAGAGAGAGAGAGAGAGAGAGAGAGAGAGAGAGAGAGAGAGAGAGAGAGAGAGAGAAAGATTAAATAATAATAATAATGATAATAATAATGACAATAATGTTAATAGTTATGATAATAATAAAGATAATAATGATAATAATTGTGAAAGAAATAATGATGCTATTACTAATGATACTCGCTGTTTTTCACTTTTCCTTTATTCTGTCTCTTTTTTTCTCTCTCTATTTCTCTCTTTCGCCTTCTCTGTTTACCTTTTTCTCTTTCTCTGTTACTGTCTTTCTCTCTGATTCTCCCTTTTTTCCGCTTTTCTTTTCTTTTGTCTTGTCTCTTGTCTCTGTTTTGTCTCTTTCTCTCTCTCTCTTTCTCTCTCTTTCCTTTCTCAGCCCCCCATCCCTTTCTCTCTCTTTCTCTGTTTTTTTTTTTTTTTTTTTGTCTTCCTATCTCTTCATCCCCTCTTTCTCTCTCTCTCTCATTTTTTTCTATCGCTCCATTCATCTACCTCTTTCCGTCCTCCTTCTTCTATGCTTTCGAGATTACTTTTGTACACTCACGTCGCCAGCGTCATGCAGAATCGCTTAACATGCAGAGCCACAACCATGTTACCTGTCGTGGTTGGCGAGCTTGTTATGTATGACAACGCAAAATATTCTCAACGCAATAATGCATACTAAGTCTTGGTATAGGTAAGGGATATATAGGGTTGTGGTGATTCAACTGATAAAGCTTTCTATAATGGTTGTGCTATTTAGACTAGATGGATAGTTTTTGTAATGTGAGAATGGTAAAGTGTGTGAGGTATGGTACAGTTTGCTGTAATTGGGAGAAAATAGTTAGGTGTATTTATTTTGTTTATGAATGGATGAGCTATAATGCTATGAGACATCTTTGGGTTTCGTTATAGACGGTAGCCTAAAAAAAACTACGAAATTTCGAACCTTTTCGGAGGCAGAGAGGAATTCAAGATGCTGTTGTACCCACAAGGGCCACTGAGAGGAGCTGACTGGCACAATAAAGAATAAGTAAAATGGAAATAATATATTACTAACTTGACACCACGGTCGAGTTGCCTTGTTCCCGAGTGGCTCGCCGGCTAGGAGTATCACGAGCCTGACATGTGAATCTTGGGTCCTCTGCTAGCGAAGCGAGTCTTTGCGAAAGGAAAGACTTTCTTTTCCTGCGCCCCGCAATCCTGCTCACGCTGATTTGAATATGTCAACGGAAAAAAAATAGAAAGAGAGAGATATTAAAAAAAGACGATAATATCATTTCTTACCTTATTTCCTTCCTTCGTTT